ACCAACTGAATGACTCCATCTGGGGAAGCCCCATGCAGGGGGGTCTTTGTGATATGTGGATGGCTGCGATGACGCCCGAGATCACCTGTGCTTACAGGGTTTTACTTGTAACGCGGTTTCTCAGAGAAGTCTCAGTTTTCTTTGGTTCACAAGGAAGTCTTTTCATTTAAAGGGGTCCGCGTGTAACTCAGGTTTGTGACCTTGGAGTGTTTCCCTTTATACACACACACACACACACTCTCACAAAATCACACACACAAATATATCTGAAGGGTAGTTGGGCTCATCAGCACACAGCTGGAGGGTCACAGTTACCAAGGACAGATTTCAGGAATCAAAAGTTACCAGCAGAATGTAAATTAGTGCAGCCACTATGGCAAACAGTATGGAGGGTCCTTAAAAAACTAAAAATAGAGCTACCATATGATCCAGCAGTCCCACTCCTGGGTATATACCCAGAAAAAATAAAAACTCTAATTTGAAAAGACACATGCAACCCAATGTTCATAGCAGTGCTATTTACAGTAGCCAAGACATGGAAGAAACCCAGGTACCCATCAACAGAAATTGACTTAAGAAGATGCCATATATATGCACACACCATGGAATATGAGCTATAAAAAGAATGGAATAGTGCCATTTGCAGCAACATGGATGGACCTAGAGAATATCATACTTCATGAAGTCAGACAGAGAAAGACAAATATTATACCATATCACTCACATGTGGAATCTTTAAAAAATAATACAAATTAATCTGTATACAAAACAGAAACAGACTCACAGACATAAAAAACAAACTTATGGATACCAAAGGGGAAAGGAAGGGGGGAGGGACAAATTAGGAGTATGGGATTAACAGATACAAACTACCATGCATAAAATAGATAAGCAACAAGGATTTACTGTATAGTACAGGGAATTCTATGCAATACCTTGTAATAACCCATAATGGAAAATAATCTGAAAAAATATATATACCTATAATGAATCACTTTGCTGTCCACCTGAACCTAACACAATATTGTAAACCAACTATACTCCAATTAAAAAAAAAGTCACCCACCAAGTCAAGCTTCAGTTATGTGAGAATCACAGCTATGGTTCTGTTTACACTTCCAGTGTGAAACTGTGGACCCTGTATCAAATCAGGAGGATGCGTGCCAGCCCTGTTGCTCTCCATAATGTGTTACACCTGAGCAAAATGCTTTTTGCATTGTTATTTCCTAAAAATGCTTTGGATCAGATTAATTTGCCCAGCCTTGCAGGCCCACTTCACCTCCTGGCTGGACGCCCTGGTTGACCTGCACAGGTGAGTGGTGCAGGGGTGCCGGGAACCAACAGCCTGCCCTCCGATTTCCTCCGTGAAACTTTGATCTGGGGAAATGACCCGGCCAGAGGTCCCAGCAGCTAGTTTCTTCTCAACAAGACTAAAACCTAGATGACTGTATTTCTTCATCTAAATAACAGAGCACAGAACAAGAGGTCAAGAAACCCAGAGAAATTCTTTTCTCTAAATCATTTGCCTAACTTAAAAGGCACTCATCACAAGCTGCGAGGCTGGAAGTATCCCGGCAGCTTTCTCTGTTGCGTTTTTGATAGGAGAGTGATTTTACTTCTGTAAGAAGTGTGCGACAGGCCCTGGTGTGTGCAGGCACATCAACTATGGAGAGAGAAAGAGCTGTCAAACGTAGCTCTGCTATATAAGTAAGGTCTTGTCTTTGAGGCCTTAGGTGCTGAAGGGTTTCTCTAAGATGCTCGGGGCAAACGTTCAGGCAGTTGAGTAAAAGGGACTTGGGTACACATATGCATAGAAAAGAGACTGGAAGGAAAGACCGCAAAATATTAACCAATGATTATCTCTGTATGTTAGGGTTGGCTATAATATTTCTTTTCTTCTTTATGCTTGAGTACATATTCCAAACTGAATGCAAGGAGCATCAGTTACTTTTATCAGAAAAATAGTTTTAAAGTTCACGTTCTTCAAAGACAATCCCATCTGAGATGGACACAGGTGAGTGACAGGTGGGATGTGGATGAGATCAGGACATCAATTCATCAACACTCTTTATCCCAACCTCAGCGTGTGCCCAGCACGGTGTTGGGTGAGACAGGACAGGGGAAAAAAAGGGAATGGACACTTAGTATTTACGAGATCCCAGACACAGTCCGTTCATATGTTACTCCCTTAACTCCTGCAAAAAGCCGCTGGGTGGGCTGTTATTTTTCTCACTTTACAAGGAGGAAACGGAAGCCCAGAAAGTGAAGCAACTGGGCCAGGTAGCAGCAAACCCTGCACCTCCCACCCTGGCAACTCCGGGCCCATGAGAGTTCACTCACCTTGGGCAGAGGGTGCAGCAGGAGGCGGCATAACCCAGCGTGCCCTTCAGTCACTTACCGACCAAAACCAACCAAAACCGCCTGGACTTTCTCAGGAGGCAGAGCCCAGCTGGAGGCTGTTACCTGCCTGGCAATTGAAGGCAAACTGAGCTGGAGGTGGGGGAGGGGCAGTGAGAGGTGGGATGGCCACGTGTCCCCAATGCCCTTGGAGGCATTGCCAAGTAATCAGTGAAATGCACTTAAAGCTTAAAGACTGGCTGCCGAGTACCTTATGAAACGGAATTCCAAGTTGGACTTACTCTTATTGTTCTCTTTGTGCTGTAAATTCAGGCACTGTACTAATAAACCCGGTAAAAGACTAAGGCACGCATAAGACTTTTTTTTTTTTTTTTTTGTGGTACGCGGGCCTCTCACTGTTGTGGCCTCTCCCGTTGCGGAGCACAAGCTCCGGACGCGCAGGCTCAGAGGCCATGGCTCATGGGCCCAGCCGCTCCGCGGCATGTGGGATCTTCCCGGACCGGGGCATGAACCCACGTCCCCTGCATCGGCAGGCGGACTCCCAACCACTGCACCACCAGGGAAGCCCCATAAGACTTTTTTTTAAACATTAAAACCCACTAACCTCTCCGCAGATGTCAGACTTTTAACCTGATTCAGGGTCTGTGGTTCTCCTTCTCTGTGTGTAAAATCTACGTGAGCAAACATCAGCTTACTGCTGAGCGTGAGTCTTCTGACATCAGCAAGGAGCAGCTTGCTCTTCTCGGAAATTCAAGCTCTGAAGCCTGTTTTTCTTACAGAGAAACAGTAAGGTCACCGAATAACCCAATAACCCATCCCTGAGTCCTGAGGCCTTTCTGACCTATGAGTCTTTGAAAGCACTTCTGTTTACTTCTCCTTTGTGGTGACAAGAGTGTGGGTGTCACCTCAGGGAGCCCACTGAGAAACTTCACTGAGTGAGGTCATTTGTATGAGTTAGCCAGGGTTGTCGTAACAAAGTACCACAGACTGGGGGGTTTAAACAACAGAAATTTATTTCCTCACAAATCTGGAGGCTAGAAGTCTGAGATCAAGGTGTCAGCAGGGTTGGTTTCCTCTGAGGTCTCTCTCCTTGGCTTGTAGACGGACGTCTTCCCCCTGTGTCCTCATGTGGTCTTCCCTCTGTGTATGCCTGTGTTCTAATCTCCTATAAGGCCACTAGTCATATTAGATTAGGGTCCACCCATATGACCTCATTTTAACTTAATCACCTCTTTAAAAACCCTATCTCCAAATACAGTCACATTCTGGGGTGCTGGGGGTTAGGGCTTCAACAGATGAATTTGAGTGGGGGGGGCACAGTTCAGCCCATAACATTGCTGGGAGGAACAGAGATGCCATAGAAATGCTCTGCTTTATCCTTTATGGATCAGGGATCAGCCTATGAGAGGCCCCGTTAGGAGGCGACTTTCTCCACCCACTGTGAGCTCAGGATGGAGGCTCCGGTGCGGATGCTCCCAGCCCTCTGCTTCTACTAACTGGGACTCATGCTTCCAGCTCAGACCATGCTCTGAGGAAAGGGATCCCTAATCCAGGCAGCTCAGATGCCCTCTAGGACCCTGCAGATCTCTGCGACAACACCTTGCCGTCCTGGAAGAGGGCAGAGACATTCACACTAGAGCAGCCCAGGTGATGGGCACTCTACCTGCCCACTGCCTTGAAGCAATTCTGTATCCACAGGAGTTTGGGGGTGGGGAGGAGGGGGTCTTACAGGTCATCCAGAGTGCAGGGCACCATGGTGATTTGGAGACACAAATGCCACGCAGAGAGGCAGTCAGGGCCGCCCTATCCGGCTGCCCCCCATCAGCTCTAGAAGGCTGCAGCTGGATTTATTCACTCATTCAACTGAACTCTGCAGGGGCCAGATCTGCGCCGGGCACAGGTGCTTGTGATTCATTCACCAGCGAAACAGACAACCCATGAGCTCATGGAGCCTTTATTCCAACACAGAGGGATGGGAACAGACTCGGGCTGCACCCAGAAGTGTTTCCTGTGAAATGTCCACTCCGTCCCAGGGAACTGGGGACTCCCGGCCTCCTCTGCTGAGGGTTTCTGGGTGGTTTCCTGTTTCAGCCCCACAGCCAGGGGAAATTTCTGCTTTTTGCTCTTCTGAACTCTAAGCTGAGACACGCACATGCTTGATGAGGGATTTTTCTGGTCAGAGGGAAGTTTTATGTCCTGTGTGCATTTCTTAATATACTCTGAAAAACTCAGTTCAAGTGTCACTTCCTGTACGAAACCTTGTCTGAGCCCACCAGCCCTGCTTCTGTGCTCCTGCAGCGTGTCACCGTGTGGTGCGGTTGTTTGTCTGGATGAGCTGTACGCCTCCCCCAGCCCCTGGGTTCCACGGGGCAGGCTCTCTGCCTTACTGTCTATGTACCTGCCCTAGGGCTACTAGTGTCTGGCACAGAGAATGTGCTGGATTAAATGACAAAACAGAAAACCAGGTGGAGTACCTCCACCCTGCCTTCGGTCTGGTCCTTAGGGTCCAGCACCATCATACTCTTTTTTTTTTTTTTTGCGGTACGCGGGCCTCTCACTGCTGTGGCCTCTCCCGTTGTGGAGCACAGGCTCCAGACGCGCAGGCTCAGCAGCCATGGCCCACGGGCCCAGCCGCTCCGCAGCATGTGGGATCTTCCCGGACCGGGGCACGAACCCGCATCCCCTGCATCGGCAGGCAGACTCTCAACCACTGCGCCACCAGGGAAGCCCCATCATACTCTTTCTGATGCCCAGATGGTGGGTCTATGACCACGTGATTTCAAAGCAGCAACGAGTATAAAAAATATTTTGAGATATTGGCAACAACTAAAGTGTGGTGTGAAAATCTGTTATTTCTCTCGGCACGGCTAAACCTTAGGGATTGTTGCCTGTGTTCATAATAGAAGGCAATGCTCAATTTCAGTGAGAGGTTAGGGAAAATAAAGATGTAAATTTTTCCTATTTAAGTTCATGAACCCTCTGAGTTTTAGTCATAGATTCTTTGAAGGATCCACATACATGTGATTAAGATCCTCCAGACCAGAAGTTTCATCCCCCAAGTCGTACTTAGCCCTTTCCCCTTGTAACCCCCAAGCCAGCTCGGGTGCAAGGTTCTGTCAACTCCCAAACCTTGGGTTGATCTAGAAGTCAGATGCCCTCAGCTCCTATGCTCCACCTGCATGGCATCCTCCAGCTGCAGACAGAAGTTGGCCCTTTCCCTGCTCCCCCACTGGGCCCCAGATGTGCAAAAGCATCAGTCGCAGGTAACTACACCAAACAACCTATAGCCCAGTAGACAATCCCTTCTCCCCAGTGGCCCTCCTTGGCTGCCCCAATGCCAGGGTTTGCTTCCTTTTCTTTTTCTCCTTTCTCCCCAGCACTGCCCAGTCTCTTTGGCTTTCCCCTTCTACCTTTTCTTCCTCTCCTTTTCATGCCAGAGACAAGTCAGCTCTGTCCCAGCCCTGCCCATCCCAGCAGCTCAGGTTCTTAGCCCAACATGAGGCTCTTCTTGGGTAGACATTTCAACAATTGCAAACTGTTTATCAAAATGTTTCTTCCAAATGCACCTAGAACTCTCCTCGATATTAACTTGGTTGAATACAATTTTCTCCATCTTATTACAACAGGGTCAAAGGTTCTTTGAAGAATCTTGCTCCTTTGGGATTTTTCCCCCACTGATGTGCCCTTCTTGGAACAAAGATACGATCCGTATCTGTCACTATCTCTTCTGTTTCATTAGCCATTGGCCTCCTGTTCATTTGGGGTGATCTACTATATCTCAGTCTCTACATTAAACACAAATACTTCATGACAAGTAGGTTTATCTAACAAATACAGGAATTGGTTATTAGGGAACCTATCAGTGTAATTCACGGAATTGAGGCATAGTTATTTCAGTAGGCACTCCAAAAACATTTGACAAGCTGGATATTGTTGATAAACTCTTAGCAACGCAGGCACAGAGGCCACATTCCTAACCCTAACCAGGGTCTACCAGAAGTTTGCACAAATCATGACATGTAATAGTAAAACACTAGAAAGAAGGGGTACCTGCCATCACCGCTTCTCTTCAACCTTGTAATGTGGATCCTTGACAATGTAGGAAAATAAGACAAAAGGGCCTGAATCTAAAATGAGAAGAAAAATATTGTCACTATTGCAGGTGATGTGATGAACTACCTAGAGAATCCAAGACCCCGAATGAAAAACTAATGGGAGAATTTGGGGAGGTGGCTGGACACAAGACCAACATACACAGATCAATGGCTTTCACATCCATTTGTGTGGGTGTTTTTAAAAAACGATAGAATATAACAAGTACTGGTGAGGATGTGGAGAAATTGGCTCCCTGTGCATTGCTGGCGGGACTGCAAAATGGTACAGACACTGTGGAAAATGGTGTGATGATTCCTCAAAAAATTAAACAAGGAGTTCAAATTCAAATTCTGGATATATAACCAAAGAAGTGAAAGCAGAGACTCAAACAGATGTTTGTACACTGAGGGTTCCTACTCTTCACAGCAGCAGTATTCACAGTAGCCAAAAGGGTGAAGCAACCCAAGTGTCCATTGACAGATGACTGGATAAAACAAATGTGACATACATCATACATGTACAGTGGACTATTATTCAGCCATAAAAAGCAGTGGAGTGCTACGTTGTGGACGAAACTTGGAGACATTATGTTAAGTGAAAGAAGCCAAACACAAAAGGACAAATATTGTGTGAGGTTCCTAGATCAAATTCATAAAGATAAAAAGTAGAACAGTGGTTGCTGAGGGCTGGAAGTAGGGGGAACTGGGGTGTAAGTGTCTAATGGGTATAGAGTTTCTGTTTGGGAAGATGAGAAAATTCTGGAGCTGGATGGTGATGATGGTTGCCCAACAATGTGAATGTACTTAATGCCACAGAACCATTCACTTAAAAAGGGTGAAAAAGGTCAATTTTCACCTTTTACGTGTTTTACCACAATTAAAAACCTATGGTTTTCTTAATCACTAACTCTAACTTATTAGAAAAGGTAAGGGGAAAGGGATCCTACTCACAAGAGCAACAGAATCCATAATATAACCAAGACTGAAACCACTGACTCTCCTGTTACAGTCACTGTAGCTCTACAGGCAAATAAATGAACAAAGCTGAATGCAGAGTCCAGAACTCCCCCTCACTCCACTTCTAAGAATCTGTCCTAGTAACAAAAAGTGTAGACATGTGCCTGGGTACATATGTACAAGGAGGCCCACAGAAATGACATTTGCAGAAGTGAGCAACGTTGAGAGCGATGTAGGATAAAACCCATGGTTCAGTGAGGAAAGTCACCTCCCATTTTGCAGCTGTTTCAGAGACGAATCAGAGCTGTGCGTCCTGACGTGCAACGATCCTGGTGATATATTGAGAAGCAAGTTTTCACATAATTCCTCGAGCATAATCTCATTTGTTTATAGGCAAAATAAAAGCTATGTAGTTGTATATTACCTAGAGAGGTAAATGCATGGAAAAGTGTCTACAAGTATGCATATCAGACCGTTGTGATTTGTCCTAGGGGAACTGTCCTTTATGAATTTTCTATGAGAATGTATTCAGGTAATACTTGGGATTTTTTTTTTTCTTTAATAAAGTAGGAAGAACCAGTTTTCTCAGTCCTGTGACAAGCTGGTGTTGTCTATGCACCTACCAGGTCCTCTCTGTGGAGCCAGCATTAGGGCATCGGTGGAGGAGGTGAGGACGATAGTTACAAGGCCTCCTGCTGGCCTTCCAGAAGAGGAGGTCTGCGTGGGGCTGTTAAGGGAACACCAGGATTCCACCTGAGACCCTCCCTTCTGGTACAGCAGTCGGTTACTTTGGGCGTCCCGTAACCTTTAGCACAGTCATCCTTGACTTTGCCCTTGGCTGTACATTGGAATCCCGTGTGAGGACTGACAAGCTCCTGACCCTAATCTGCACCAGGGGATTCCCATTTCTTTGGTGCAGGGGTGGCCCTGACCTTGGGCCATCTCTCTGAACTCAGGGCTCCTCTGTTCTCCTGTTACAGCCCTCAAGGTGTTACCTAGTCCGGCACTTCTCACTTATGCAAGTGATATCTGAAACCAAAGGAGAGGCTTTTTTGACATTTGACCTAACTGGTTTCTGTTCATCACTCTATCCCATTGAGATGTGTTTTAACTTTTTCCATCCAGAGAATCTTCCTGCGTCTCCATCACCATGATGGGACATTCTCTCTGTCTCCTAGGCACAGAAGCCTCACCCGGACCAACCTCTCATTCATTTGGGTCCTTAGAGGAAGGCATGGTTTCTGTATGACTAAAAATATCTTTCCCTTCCATTAATAAGAAACCAAGACCCAGGAAGACCATTCAGCAACAAAAAGAAACAAACTGCCGAAACATGCATGCCACACATGAACCTCAAAATCGTTATGCTCAGTGAAAGGCGCCGGATGCCAAAGGCCATGTAGTGGATGATTCTGTTTACATGAAGCATCCAGAAAAGGCAAAAACATATGCAGAGAGAGCAGATTAGAGGTTGGCCGGTCTGGGCTGTAATGGGAGGGCCATAAACAGACACAAGGGATCTCCTGGAGGTGCTGACTTGAAACAAACCAACTGCCAGATATTTCTCTAGCGAAGATGGGTTTATCTGGGATCAGCAGAGAATTACACTTCCGCCTCTGCAGCCATGGCGAGCCACGTGCAAGTCTCCACACAGCAAGGGAAGGAGAACTCTTTTATAGAGGGGAAGAGGAAGTCTGGAGGGCTGCTGTTGTAAACAGAGTCCATGGCTTTTCATTGGCTGAGTTCTTGCCAAGAAAGAAGAGGAGTCTGTTTCCTTCCTGTTGGGCTCTGCTATGGCCACAGGACATGACAGCTGCCCCTTCTGACTATTTAATCGAGGTTTCTGCTCATTCATTTTTTACAGGTGGGATGTTCCGGAACTGGATCGTGGTGATGGTTGCCCAACTCTAAATTTACTAAACACCTAAATACCACTGAATCGCACTTTTATGGTATACGGATCCTACTTCCAGAGTGCACCAGACTGAGTAGAATTAAGCCCTCTTTCAAATGGATGCTGTTGGAGAATGTTAGACAGCTGGGGTTCCATGGCTGCTTGGGGGAAGGGTGCAGTTTAGCATCTCAAACAGCTCAGCCTTGGCTCCCAAATCACACACCCCTCCCAGCCAAACCAAAGCCCTAGGCCAGCTGGACCCACCCAACTTTTTACACTGCGCCCTGGGGTCTCTCTCTGTGCCCAGTCACCTTGGCGGAGGTCCTCTCCTAACCTTTAACTTTTGACAGGGCTCCCGCCGAGGGCGGCGGGCTCTGCATCTCCACCAGGTCCACACAGCTGCCCGACTGGCCTCTGGCAGATGTCAGGTGCCCCTGTGAAGCCCATGAGGCTTGTTCTCCGAGGGCAGCGGGAACCCGAGGGCACACCACTCACTGGCTCCCAAGCTGACTGGTTAGAACAGGGGAAACTGTAAACCCATTTTCAGGGAGTGACAGAGGGAGAGAGCTGCTCAGTTCTTAATGATAACTGGCCCCTCCCCCTCCCCCTCCCCTCCCCTCCCCTCCCCTCCCCTCCCCCTCCCCTCCATCTTCTCCCGGCATCCCCTCTGCTCTCCTCTCCTTCCCCTTCCCCTCTCTCCTACCTCCTCCCCTCCCTCCACCCTCCCTCTTCCCACCTGTATGGTATTGGGCACCATCTCCTGTGCAGACACTGAGCTAGGAGGTGGGCATACAGCAGTGAGCAAAGCCAACCTGGACCTGTCTTCAGAGTTCACAGTTTGTTGGGGGAGATATTAACCTAATAATCACACAAATCAAACGCTGACACACACATAAGGTGTTGGAAGGAAGGGCCCATCGGGCAACAAGAGGTTCTAATTTACAGGGTCCTTGAAGAGCACTTGGCCCAACAAGGTGATACTGAGGTGGAGGCTGGAAGGCTGAGAGGAGCTGTAGGTGAGGAGCAGAGAGAAGGCCCTGGGTGAGGAGGTGCACCTGGGAGGAGTGAAAGGCGGTCAGTGATTGGGGGGGAGGGGGACTCTAGCCCCTCCCCCAACAACCTCCACGGCCTTTCTGCCTCTTCCCACCAAAGCCAGGCCCCCGAGGAGAGATACACTCCCCGGAAAAACAGGGGATGCCGTGCAAATACAGCCTCACGTCACCTGCTCTCCACCCTCTCCCTTCCTGCTGCGTCTACCTGGTCAAAAATGATGAATCTGCCGTCGGTGGGCTGGGGGCGGGGTTTATTCTAAGACCTTGGGAAGGCACTGCTGAGGTTTGACTAGGGTGAGACACACCCAAGTGATGTTATAACACCGCTGATGGCTGAGGGGCGAATGACGTGGGAGTCCTTTTCAGCCGAGTGGCCCCGGGAACTTAGGTCCGAGGTGAGATGGATCCCTTTCCTCCCAGGGGCTGTCTTGGTGGACGTGGTGGTGGGGATTGGCTGGAGCTGGAACGTGGGGACCCAGGCCAGCGCACTTGGCGCCAGCCCTGGTTTTGATGGTGAGGAAGGGCCCCCTGAAAAGCCCTGCCAGGGCCCTAGATTTGGGGACGCACTTCCTCCTCCCCCAGCCCTCCCTTCCCCTCCCCCCCACCTCGAGGCCCCTTCTATTTATAGCGCTTCCTCTCCAGATCTCTGCACTTGAAAGGTGTCCTTGAAACACACACAAAAGAGAAAAAAAATTCTGAAAAATGTCAAACCACAGGTTCTTTCCCCACTCTTCAAGTTTCTAGGTTTGTACTATTCCTGGTTGACCCTAAAGTAGAAAGGGTCAAATGGGTGCCCCGAGTTTTAATGGTTCAGAAGGTGCTGGTTGTTGGGTCCTGGCTCTGGCAGCCTCCTGGGGACCAACTCAAGGGTCAGGGGACTTGAGATCCTTTCTCGTGGGTAAAGTACGGGGCCACAAACACACAGCACCATCTAGCCTGTAACTTTGACAAGATCAGCGGCAGTGATCTCAGGTGGTGAGATGGAAGTTGGAGAGTACACTGAACTGGAAGCCAGGATGTCATGGTCTAGTTCAAGCTGTGTTTAGAAACATCACTTACATCTCTGAGTGTACCTTCCACTCTGTAAATTTAAAAAGTTGGACTAGACCCGTGTTTTACAAGCTTTTTTGACCCAGAGCTCACACACCCATAACAAAAGTCCCATGAAATATTCAATAGTATTTATGTTTATTGTGACACTTTTTAAAAATTCTGTTCCATTAAAAAAAAAATTTGATCATGACCAACTAAAATAATTTCAAAACTTACTATAAATGGTTAAATAGTAAATTTTATGTTATGTATATTTACCATAATAAAAAAATTGAAAAACCCATTGTGAATTTTACAATGGCTGAAAAACACTGGGCTACACCATCCCTGAGTTCTCCTCCAATTATTATTTTTAAAATCTAATTGTGCAATCACAGAGGAAAAGTGCCTCTTTGATAAAATGTTCATTAAGCTTAATTTTTTTTTCAGATAATTAAAAATGTTTTCTCCCTTGCTCTCTTTTTCTCTTTTAAATATCAACTAAGTATGGCATCAACTAAAACTGCACCCATGCATACTCTGTGGCCCAGCAATTCTGCCCTGGGCATATCCCAAAGGAAATGAGTGCATATGTTCCCCCAAAGATGTGCTCAGGGATGTCTGTAGCAGCACTATTTGTAACAGCCTCAGCTGGATACAACTCAGATGTTCATCAGCAGGAAAATGAATAAATAAGTACTGATCTATCCCAGCAAAGGAATAAAGACAGCAATGGGAGTGAATGAACTACAGCTATTAACAGTATGGATGAGTTGCACCAAAATACTGTTGAGCAAAAGAAGCCAGAGCTGGAAGAACACATTCCGTGTGATTCCATTTATATCAAGTTCAAAACCAGGCAAAAATAATCTAGTATCATCACTAACATAGTAACCTTGGGAGTCAGTGACTGGATGGGGCTGCTGGGGTGCATAGACTCTTCTGGGCTTTTTATCTAGTTGCTAGTACATGGGTGCATTTCGTAGGGGTTCATAATGAACCCCCCGCCCCAAAATGTGTCACTTTTGCATGAGGATTATTTTGAGCTAAAGGCAATCGATACCCTGCGGGTTCTAGAGAAATTACTGCCCCTCCCCTAACTACCTAAAAGAATTTCAATTGTGGATTTTTCCCAGAAAAAGAGTTGTTACCAGAGTTACCTTTTACCAAAGTGGCCCTATCTGTATGTCAGGGAAAGCGCATCTAATTACCCAACATCTGCTCTTCTTCTTATCCCCACATGAATGACCCTCCCGTCCTTGGAAACCCCAGGTCCTGATGGCATTCCTCAGCTCAGGATGGCGTACAGACCTCATCTTACCTTTCTGTCTCTGACCCTCTCATGTATGTGTGGGTCTCTGACCTTCTCCTGTATGTGGGGTTCCTGTATATATGAAACTAAATGTGATTTTCTCCTGTTAATCTGTCTTATTTCAATTTAATTCTTAGACCAGCCAGAAGAACCTAGAAAGGCAGAGGGAAGTTTTCTTCCACATCCTCACCATTCATCTCTGGGAAACCTCCCTGACTACTCGGGACCAGGACAAGCATCCCCTCGGGTGGTCCCTTAGTGCCCTGAACTCACTCTCTCAGCTGCGTCTGTCTCTCCATAGAGGTCGCCTGCCTGCTCATCTGTCCACTTCACCAGAAGGAAGGACTCTGTCGCTGTTGTATCTCTAGCTGGTTCTGGAAGTTCAGCATAATGTAGACATTCACTCCACCTGAGGGAATAAATAGGTTACTCAAGTGTCTAGAAGTCTATCAAGGATTAAATGGATTTTAAAAAGGAGGAAGAAACAAATACATCTGTAACCACCCCCAATCCTTCTCCTCCTCCATCATTAAAAAAAAAAAAAAAAGGGCTTCCCTGGTGGCGCAGTGGTTGGGAGTCCGCCTGCCGATGCAGGGGACGTGGGTTCGTGACCCGGTCCGGGAAGATCCCACATGCCGCGGAGCGGCTGGGCCCGTGAGCCATGGCCGCTGAGCCTGTGCGTCTGGAGCCTGTGCTCCGCAACGGGAGAGGCCACAACAGTAAGAGGCCCACGTACCACAAAAAAAAAAGAAAAAAGGATAAAAGGCATTAGTTTTACAGACCCCCGCTCCCCTCCCCCAGCAGTGGCTGTACCCAGAACTAAGCCACGTGGTGCCTCTCTGCTTATGCTTGGGGCTGAAGATGCTCATGGAACAGAGCAAACCACAGAGATGAGATAGGGGTGCACCCCTGCTTCCCTTGGGCAGGCACAGATCACATCAGAAATCAATGCCCTGTGAAGCTGCTTTAAGGGTAACACCCAGGGCGGTCGCCAAGCTCAGACATCACCAGCCTCAGCTGCAGTGGCTCCACCCGCCCCAGAAACAGCAGCACCGAGTCCTTCGTGTCCTTCATATCTGGGTGATACTATCCCTTGGCCACCTCCTTAACCTCCAGCCCCAGCTGCAACCTCCTTGAAATTGAACCTATCAGAAGAAGCACCTGGATCTTTGATGAAATTGGCTGTGTGGCCTTAGACAAATCACTTAACTTCTCTGAGCCTCATTTTCCTCATCTGTAAAATGGGACGAATAGTGCTTCTTTGTCGATGAACTGAGGTGTAAATAAATATATAATAGTTAAGGGCGACAGAGAGTAAGTCCTCAATCAAGGGTGCCACTACTATTACTGTCATTGGTATTGATTTTCTGGGCCAGGTGGAAGATGACAAATATTATAGATTACAAGGAAGGAAGTTGTCAAGCCACCTTGAGAAAAAATCAGGACAATCAGTGGGTCAGGGAGTCGTACCATAGGTCCAAATTCTAGCCTTTGGGGGACAGTATTTGCTGAGTCATCATGTGTTTGGGGCTGAGAGGAGGTGGGTGTAGGGATTAAAGGGCTCTGCATTGTGAGGAGAGCCCTGAAAAGGAACCAGGAGCTGAGGGTTCTGGTCCCGTCTCGCTGGAGAAAGCCAGGAGGATTTGGGGGAAAAAAAAATCCCATGTGTCAGTTTCTTCACTTGGAAGACAAAAATGTCAGACTAGATCAAGGGTTCTCTACCTTTTCTTGTGCCATGGACCCTTCAGGTGAAACTAAGGACCTTCCTCAGGGTGATGGTTTAAAATGTATGAAGTAAAGTACATAAGATGACAAAAAACTGCTCATGTTAAAATACAGTTATCCAAATGTTAAAAACCAGATTTCTAACATGATGTTCCTTCCGTATGATTATTAAGTAATAACAACTGTAATCTCAAAGCAGTGATGTGCAAACATATTTCAAGGTACTTGAATCACCTGTAATGGGCTATGAAGAGAGTCATGATTTCTGTCAGTGACAGAGTCACAGGTATACTTCATTCCACTGTGACCGGCTGCCAGGGCCTAGGCTGACAGGTTGCAGTTAGAGCCTAGTGAAAATAAAGAGGTAATTGTTCTCCCACCCAGGTTCACAGGCCTCCTGAATCCTGGCCTCCCAGGGACTAGGCGAGGTCTCCCACACCTTCCACTGTAGCAGCCCCTGTAGATAAAAGAGCCGCTGCACTTCCTACCGCTGAGGAACTCAACAGCTGGTTGAAATGAAACACCCCTGCCCAAGAAGTGACTGGAGAACAGCCCCTGAGAGCGTGAAATCCCATGCATAGTACAGGTGGTAAGCACAGGATGGCGGCCAGTGAGGGCTGCTACTTAGACTGGACAAGATCATAAAAGGGCAGGAGAGATGGTAACTTTGTAAGGGATCTGCTAGGTTCCAGGCCAAGCACGTGCTAGGGGACTGAGCGATGTGTTTCTATGAACACAAGGAGAGCCCACCATGTACTTCTCAGTCATGTGTACACACGAAGGGGACCAGAATATGCCACCCACTTGTGCCTCTTTGGCATAAGGATTATTTTGAGCTGAAGGCAACTAAGAAAAATAGCAGAAAGAGAAGGAAAAAATATCTCTGCCTTCTTCCTATTTGGCTAAAAGCAGGATAGAAATTTCCATTTGTAAAGGCATTTCACCCTCCTTACCAGGAAGACAGCAACTCTTAATCATCTGAGAGGACTCTAGTCTCTTAGCCCAGAGCCAAGAGAGGAAGGTGCATGATAAACCTTACTAGACAGCCCTCAATCTTCTACTCCTTTCCCCATCTATTACGGCATCCCCACACCCGCTCCCTGCTTTCCTCTGTCTTGTTAGTTTCCACCACTTACTGCTCTTTGTTTTGTTTTTTTTTAAACAAATTATTTATTTATTTTTGGCTGCGCTGGGTCTTCCTTGCTGCACGCCGGCTTTCTCTAGTTGTGGCGAGCGGGGGCTACTCTTCGTTGCAGTGCGCGGGCTTCTCGTTGCGGTGGCTGCTCTTGCTGCAGAGCATGGGCTCTAGGTGCACGGGCTTCACTAGTTGTGGCATGTGGGCTCAGTAGTTGTGGCTCGTGAGCTCAGTAATTGTGGCACACGGGCTTAGTTGCTCCGTGGCATGTGGGGTCTTCCTGGACCAGGGATCGAACCCGTGTCCCCGGCACTGGCAGGTGGATTCTTAACCACTGTGCCACCAGGGAAGCCCCACTGCTCTTTGTTAAAATGCTGTATAAACTTATTCCTATCCACTTTGGCTGCTCACTTCTTTTCTGTGAAGCCTCCCGGGCCAAGTCAGAGTAAAATTGTTAACGTCAGCTAAAATGTGTGCGCCCTTCTCCTGTTCGTTCGTCTCTTGTCCAATTAACGGACACAACTGCAGCCACTAAACCCAGGAGGGCGGAGGAAAAGTTTCCCCTCCCAGCACACACAGGTACGTACGTGTTCCCGGCTCGAAGCTGGCGCTCAGTAAACGCTTGTTGAACGACCCATGAGTGAACAGTGTGGGGTGAGGGTATTCCACAGTTTGTTGCCCTTCGTAGGCCTGCTAGTCTGCCCTTTTAGTGGGAGAGCCCTAAAAGTCTTGAGGACACGAAGGAAGGTTCTCCTGGGGTTTGCCATCTGTGTGTAAGTCAGGCACCTCTGGAAACGGCATTAGTTCTTCCTTCCGGGCCGTGGGAGGGAAGTTGATGGTAAAAGGTGCAGGTAAGACAGGGCTTCTTTACCAAACTTCTCTCCAACTGATCTGGAGCTTTGGGGGACATCTTTTAGGGACCAGTCTACACAAGGGAAAAATGGGGTCCCATGGCCTTCATCAGTGGGAGGTCAGTTAGGGGGGCGTGTTGACCCAAATTCTAGACAGGGGAGGGGTGGCGGGGAACCGAGGCGTGAGGGATGTCACACCAGAGACACAGAGCTCGGGGGTGGGGCTGGGGTCCAAGGCCGGGCTGGAGAGCCGGCTGCTGACGGAAGCGCCTTCCTTCCACGTGCAGAGAAGCTCAGAAAGAAGCTCACGCTCACATCCCTGGGGCGGCAACTTGGCAGCGTTACAGCCCTGATCCGGGGGTGGGTCTGATGCCTCATTGATTCGCCAGCTGTGCGGTAGGGAAACGAGGGGGGCGCGGGGAGAAGGGGTGGCTGGGGAACACCCTGGTTTCATCTGCTGTCCAGCCACCGCCAAGTGCAGCCCTTGGGAGTGCAGCCCATCAGAGCTGCACGTGGGCTTTCGGGCTCCGTTAGAGCGCCTCGCCTGGATCACAAACCCAGGGAATCCCGAGCCAGGCCGAGTCTCCCCTCGCTTCCCGACCCCCAGCCTGAGCTTGGCAGGGTCCCCAGACGGTACTTCTTTACTTCGCTCATCACCCCCTCATGGGGGGAGGGGAGGGGGGGAGAGAATGCTGGCTGCTTCTGAAGTTCCTGACTCTGGTGGCTTGGGAGTAACATCTATGGCCTAAACCCCTGCCTGTGGGGGGCAAAGAAATGGAACAGAAGGGAAACCGCTTCCTAGAGCAACATCCCCCCACTCCCTCCTTCTCGGGAGGTGTGGGAGACAGGCCTGCGTGGGAGGCCATGTGTCTGAGCGAGCTTGTCCTGTGGCAGGAAGATCACCTTGGCTGATACCCTGGGTGGTTTTTTTTCCCCTTTCTTTCTTTCCTTTTTTTTTTTTTCAGCAGGGGTGGGTGAAGGGAAGAACAGTGTGGAGGCTAGTGCGGTGCACTGATTCAATTCCTGCAGAGGGGAGAGTGCTCGGGGCGCCTTCGATGCTCCAGGGCCCCCTGGGAAGGCAGCTGGCCGCTGCACGAGACTCCGCCGGGCTCCCTGGCGTCACCCTCGGTGAGTGAGGTAAGTGGACCAGAGGTGAGTCTTTTCGGGCACCGCGGGAAGGACGTCCCTTGCTGGGGCTCAGAGAGATTGTTCTGCTCTTCACACACCCTCTCTTTCTGCTTCTGTTGGGAACAGGTAGAGCATCCCTATCGACCCCAGCCACCAGCCAGGACCCCTGCCGTGCCTGACCGGGAGGAAGGACACGTCAGGCCAGGAGGACCAAAGGTCAGTGTCAGTCTCATGTCATGGAGCAAAACCGGCTGACAGAACTGGGCTGCTTTCACTGGACCACACCCTGGGGGTGCAGACCCTTAGAACCTTCTGGAAGCTCTCTGGATCATTCTTCCCTACATGGCTGCACTAATTGATAACCCCTAACAGGGGCACACCTGGCCCTCCACAGTCACAGCTGGGTGAGTCTCAAAAGGCACATACTCTTGTGAGTGGGAAATGCGTCAGTAGCTTCATAGTAAGACGTAAAAGACTGTAGGGGAGGGGACATGTCCCTTCTTCCCTTCTGGCTTCTTTGGCTGGCCTCATCACGAAATGGACAAGAGACAGATTAACAGGAGAAAAAACCCAAAAGCTGAATAACGTGTATACGTGGGAGAGACCCAGGAAAACTGAGTAACTCGCCAAAATGGGCAAAACCATCATCTTAAATGCTTTCCTCAGCTGAAGACAACAGAAGATGTTAGGAGTGGGGCAGCTAGAGATGAGAGGCGAGCGGGAAAAGCACAGTAAACAAGGGTAAGGGAGCTCTGCAGATTTAAGTCCTTGCCTTCTGCGTTGACTAGAGTTTCTACAGATTGAGTCATTACCCCTCTTCTTGGTACGACAGGGGAGACACTCTTACAAATATAAGCATCTTTTACAAAGGGCAACTTCGACTTGGCTTTCAGAGCTTCTTCTGTGCCTGTGCCTTCTTAAAAATAACCAGCTTAAAAGAATCCTTAGGCCAAACACGTGTATTTTGGGGTGGCAGATTCTGCTCCCCTACAAACCAACAGTGGGTCATTTCCTAAGAGCAGATGGGATGGAGTTGGAGAAATGGGATACTTTGCGCTTGTGGGGGGAGAACCCGGGGGGCGGGGGGGGCGGGGCAGAAAGGGGCCAAGGAGCACACCTTCAGCAGGTGTGGGCCAGAGCCCACGGTGCACAGAGCAACCAAGCGGTCAGCCACTGGGCAGTCAGTGCTCCTGCTGGGGAAGGGACGCTCACGCGGAGGTCTGCACCCGCATCGACAAGCAGGAAGGCCAGAGCGGCAGGTCCGAGGCGTTAGGGCCCTCTCTCGACGGCTCCTCATTTGGGACTGATCTCCCCGGACTCACATATGTGACAGCACCCGCCTGCCTCTCTTCGGGATGTGGATGTGACTTCTCCGTGGGTGCCCTGGGAAGGGGGACCACGGGGCTCCCAGCATCACCCACCATCCAGACAGCTTGTTTTGTGCCAAATACCAAAACAGGAAGAAGATTCGGAGAGGCCTGAGGGGCACGGGGTTACGGAGGTTGCTAAGGCGCTGAGGGGTGAGTCACGGGGAGCAGGTACCTGTGAGTTGCCCTCAGATGCTCGAGCACCAGGTGTGGGGGCTGCTGCAGAGACCGGAGGTTTCGGGGAGGAAGTGGCGCTTGGTGGGGCCTTGGGGCTGTGCGGTGTACCCGGCGCCCTGGGCTGCGGGCCGGCGTGTGGTTTGCCCTGGGGAAGAGGCCCAGGAAAGTCAGGAAGCGGGGGACACTTGCTCAGGGTGGTGTTTCCTTAGGAGCCAGTCGCACCCCTGTGCCCAGTGAGTCCTGAACAGACAGGAAAAGGGACACAGAAAGTTCCAACAGGCGTCAAACCGCTGCTCTGTGACTGATTGCCAGTGATTCCAGCGGCTGAGTCGACCTGTGGCTGAGACCCTCCTGAGCTAAACTGGCCCCTTGAGACACCCTCCTCGCCCTGCTGGGGGCACAGAGCCCATCCCCTCAGCTCCCACCTCAGTGCGACCTGAGGACCGGATTGTTCAGTGAAGGGATGAATAAGAAGCGCCTTCCCTCTGGATTCAGAGCTGGCAGGACCCCTGGGAGAGCGTAACTACCACCTATCTCTATCTAACTATCTATTCATCTATCTCTATCTGTCTATCTAGTCACCATCTCTATATCTATCTAATCTATTATCTATCTACCATCTATTTACCTACCCACCTATCTAACCATCTATCTATCTATCTAATCATCCTCACTATATCATCTCCATCTAGCCATCCATCCATCCATCCATCATCCTGAGGTTCAAAGGACTTTTCAGTGTTCCTCTCTCTACTGTTCAGATGCACTTTTCTTACTTTCCATTTGAATGGAGGCCCTTATGCTTATAGAGACAGAGCTCTCTATATGCATAGGTTGCAACGAGGCATAATCTACAGCAGGGTCCCTACTAGCTAGCCCCAAATCGGTAAAGGAGGGAACAGCTGTGTCCTGACTCAAGTGAGGTTTTGGGGCTCACGGAGCTGGTGCCCTTCAAGCCAGCACGTGACTGCAGGAGTTCAGCACCTCCACCTGGATCTCTGGTCCCGTGAGCTATTGTGGCCCTTGGGTAAACAGCACACCCTCTGCAATCACAGCGCTCACATGTGCCTCACAGGGACAGTCACTCAGGCTCCACCTGCTGCACGGAGAGCATGGGTTTTCTCCAGGTATATGCCCAGTAGTGGGGTTGCTGGGTCATATGGTAGCTCTATTTTTAGTTTTCTGAGGAACCTCCATACCGTTCTCCATAGCGGCTGCACCAATTTACATTCCCATCAACAGTGTAGGAGGGCTCCCTTTTCTCCACATCTGGAATCTAGAAAAATGGTATGGATGAACTTATCTGCAAAACAGAAATAGAAACACAGATGTAGAGAACAAACTTATGGATACCAAGGGGGGAAGTGGGGGTGGGGTGCGTTGGGAGATTGGGATTGACGTATATACACTACTATGTATAAAATAGATAACTAATGAGAACCTACTGTAGAGCACAGGGAACTCTACTCAACACTCTGTGGTGACCTAAATGGGAAGGAAATCCAAAAAAGAGGGGATATATGTATACGTATAACTGATTCACTTTGCTGTACAGCAGAAACTAACACAACATTGTAAAGCAACTATACTCCAACAAGAAATTTTTAAAAATAATAAGAAAAAGTTAATGATAGTAGTAGTGGTAGTAGTAATAGAACAATAATCATAATAGTAATAACGTCTAACATGTTAAAAAAAAGAAGATATATAAATGGCCAGTAAACCTGTGAAAAGGTGCTCACTGTCAGTAGTCATTAGGCAAATGCCAATTGAAACCACCAGAAGATACCCCTGCACACCCACCACACTGGTTCACCTGAAAAAGACTGACCATGCCCAGGGCTGGTGAGGATGAGGCACCATGGGAATCCCATACGCCGTCGGGAGTACGCAGAGCGGCTGCTTTGGGAAAGTGATGGCCAGGACGTACCTACTAAAATGAAACGTGCAGAACCTGTGATTCACCAGCCCCACTCCTAGCTATGTACAGTACTCAGCAAAATAGATATTTATGTGTCATCAAAGACATGTGAAAGAACATGTATAGCTGAACTTGATATAACAGAAATGTTCACCAACAGTAGGATGGATGTAAATAGGTGGTGATGCATACATACAATGGACTATCATACAGCAATGAGAAGGAACAAACCACAACTACACCACACCACAACTACACTACAGCGTGGGTGAATCTCACAACCTAATGCTGACCCAGAGAAGCTCTGTGGGTGAGAATACACATACCCATGGCGTATGATTTCATTTACTTAAAGTTCAGAAGCAGGCATACTGAGTTGTGATTTTAGAAGTTAGGATATTGATTACCCTTGAGTGGAGGTAGAGGCTGTGGGGGCAAAGGAGAGCTTCTGGGGGTGCTGGCGAGGTGTCTCCTAATCTGGGGGCTAATCACACAGACGTGTTCACTTTATGAAAATCGTCAAGCTCTACTTTTACGATTTGTGCACACTTTTGCATGTGTGTTGTGATTTGTAAATGGCTGCAAATTCTTTGACCTGCCTCCTATTGAGAGATGGGAGCTATGTCTCCTCTTCTTGATTCTGGGTGGGCTTGTGACTCACTTGTAACAGCAGAAGGCGGACATGCTGATACCACACTTCCCAGGCCAGCTTAGAAAAGCTGATGCAGTGTTTTTGAGTACAGTGTGTTCATAGAAAATCTGAGGGTCAGTAAGGCCCACAGATCAGGGGATGATTGCTGTTGAAAAAGAGAGCTCGTTACTTACAGACCCCAAGAAGAGGGGCCATGCCACATCACGGGGGGCCACAGGGGGAGAGCTGGGGTTGGTCAGGAGACAGAGCCAGAGGAGCAGAAATGTGGTCACGAGCCTCTACTGTGGTTTCGGTGGAAGGGAACAGGCAAGGCAGGGTCAGCAGGCTTAGGATTGTTTAAATCATCTCAGGGGGCTCTGGGACACAGGGGCTGCCCCTGGTACCTGGCCCTGGGTTGATTAGGGCAGGTGGTGGGAGTGGTTGGTTTGCGTTTGAAAAGTACACTCAAGGGACTGGTTAACCCAGGGAAGGGCAGCCCCTCCAGGGTCAGCCAGGCCCCAAGATGTCAGAGCACTAGAATATAGAAAATAAAAGGCGTGGTTAATAGACGGAGATTCTACCTAGTTTCCGGGACACTTTCTTTTGGAGCCTCCACCTACTGTGTAAGAAACTGAGGTACTTGCAGGCCACCATGTTGCGAGGAAGCCCCCGCCTCACGAGGAACCCTCGTGCAGGTGCTGTAGCTGACAGTCCAGTTGAGGCTTCGGCCCAAAGTCAGCGTCATTTGAGTAAAATCACCTCCGGGTGGTCCCAGCCCCTGCCACTGAGTAACCCTCAGCTGTCGATGCTTCCCAGCTGAGGCTCCCAACAGTGGGCAGCAGAGAAAAGCCAATCCCACTGTGTCCTGTTCAAAACCTGACCGTGAAAATAACAAAGTGTTTTAAGTTGCTAAATTCTGGGGGTAATTTGTTACATAGCAACAGTGAGTGGAACGGTATGTCACACGTCCACATAAATTTACTTCAAAAGAGGTAGGCTTGTATGTACCACATCTTCTTTACCCATTTACAAAACAGAAACAGACGTACAGATATTGAAAACAAACTGATGGTTACCAAAGGGGAAACACTGGGGGAAGGGATAGATCAGGAGCTTGGGATGAACATACACACACTACTATATGTAAGATATAACCAACAGGGCCTACTGTAAAGCACAGGGAACTCCATCTGTGATAACCTATATGAGAAAAGAATCTAAAAAAGAATGAATATATGTATATGTATATGTAACTGAATCACTTTGCTGCACACCTGAAACTAACACAACATTGTAAATCAACTATAATCCAATAAAATTTAAAAATAAAGATATATGCTATTCATGGGCACGTGGCTTCAGCAAATTATTAAGTATTACTTGATAGAGGCGTTAACCCCACAGATACAATGTTACATTTTAATTTTTTGTCTCCCCAAGGACCTCTATGACATGGCTTCCTGCACGGCTGACCCAGACAGCCTCGTCCGCCACGCCGACGCCTGCCTTCCTCGCCACCCACCCCGGGTGGCCAGCGTGATGCTCTCTTTGTTCTACACAGCCCTCTTGGTCTTCGGCACCCTGGGAAACATCCTTGCCCTCCGCCTTGCCTATCAAAAGGGCAAGAAGATCAACTCAACAAATGTCTACCTGGTCCACCTGGCAGTGTCCGACCTCCTGTTCACCCTGGCCCTGCCCGGAAAGATCGCCTACTACGTGCTGGACTTCAGCTGGCCTTTCGGTGAAGGGCTCTGCAGGCTGACGGCCTTCATATCCTATGTGAACACTTATTCAGGGATCTACCTGATGGCACGCGTGAGCGTGGACCGTTACGTGGCTGTGGTCCGCACCCACCAGTGTCTCCGGCTCCGCGGACCCCGGCGGGCCAGGCTCATCTGTGTGGCTGTGTGGGTCCTGTTGTCTCTGCAGACGGCGCCCCTGCTCCTGCTCTCCATGACCAAGCTCGTGGCCGGCAGGCTGACCTGCATGGAGTATGACAGCGTCCAGCCGGTGCTCACGCTGCCCGCCGTGGTCCTAGTGATCTCCGCTCTGAGCTTCTGCGGGCCGGTGGGCGTCATTCTCTTCTGCTACGTGAGGATCACCATGAAGCTGTGAGGACGGCCCGGGACAACCCTCTGACAAGCGGGAAGGGGCACCACCGCAGGGCCTGCCTGCTCACCCTGGTGGTGCTGGTGGCCGTGCTTGTGTGCTTCATCCCCTACCACTTCAATGTCATCCGGGTCATGGTGAGAAAGGTGCTCCACCAGCCAACCTGCCCCGAGCAGAGGGCTTTCAAACTGTGCCTTCAGCTCACGGTGTGCCTCATGAACTTGAACTGCAGCATCGACCCCATCATTTACTTCTTCGCATCTACGCGTTACAGGAAATGGCTCCTCAGCATTTGGAAGCTCAAAGCGTCACATCCTCCGACTCCCCCGCTCCGGGAAAAAGTTCCTCAGAAGCACAAAATATCAGCCAGACTGGAGGCTCCTTGCCCTTAGAGGAGAATGAGGTCTAATAGGTCGTGGGCTTTAAGACTGCATCTGGGGGTAGGGGGTCCAGGGTTGGGGGCTCAAAGCTTATACAATTTGGACGGGTGTGGGTTCTTTAAGAAAAAGAATACAAAACAATAGATGTAAAATTAGGTACAAGGTCTTGGATGGTAAGTGAGGAGCCCTGGAGCTTGCACTCATTAGCTTTACGGTGAACCGACCTCTGATGTATCCTAACAAACGCCACTGCGTCCTTGGCCTCTGAAGGGTGTGCGGTTTCTTCCAGGAAAAGAATATTTTCACAGCAAATGCAGTCACAACCAAAAGAATCATTGGCTGAGTACCAGATCCACAATTTAGACAAGGTTTCCAAATTGGGGTGGCAAGTTGTTGGAAAGAGTAAAAATACTCCCCCCCTCAAAAAAAAAAAACCCAAAATTTCTAAAAGCTTGGCGCTAACGTTTACAAAAATGCCAAGGTTCTCCTGAGAAAGTCAGAAAACATGGGGAGGACGCACTGACTCCAAGTTACTGGCCCAGCCGCCTCTGGCGTCGGGGGAGTGGGGCGAGGGACTGGGTGTTGTGCACTTTTGTAGGAAGAGTCTGAATCTGGTCCCAAGCCCCTTATGACATGTGTGACTGGGGACATCGCTGGGGGAGAAAGTCAGGAAAGTGGGCACGAGCTTTTCATTTGTTTTGTGTGTGTCAGAAAGTGCTTATCCATGGGAGTGTTGTTTCCATTCGGTCAAAACAAACCTTTCCGGTGCTTTCTTGAGTTTAAAACAAGGCACAGAGCGTTTCCACTTGGGCGATTTTGAGTTCTGTAAAATAAAACACGCATTTCCCTGCCAACGTGCGGGGAGCACCAGGGCCAGTGTGACGTCTGTCTCCGCGGCACGGGCCCAAAGCAACATGCTCACGGCCTCCGCGGCGCCCCCTTGACCCTACCCCAAAGCTCCGGCTCCAGACGGGTCCCCCCTGAGGTCGTCCCTGGTCCCTGACCGACAGTGGCCTCCTGCTCCAGACAATCAGCTGCTTCCACCTCCCAAGTTCCAAGTTTGGGGCACTTGACTCTCGTGCGCAGAGCTTCATGGTGGCTCTCCTGAGAGGGGGCTGTCTCACGGGGCACCAGACTGTCAGCTCCTGAGACGTCCGGGGCACGGCCTGCTCCTCTCAGCCCCCCGCATCACAGTCCATGTTACTCCTGGGACGGGAGCTGGTGCTCAGTCCGCCCTCGCTGGTTTGAGCTGATGAGCTTCCTTCTTCTCACGCTGCTGTGTCCCAGGAGAGGCTCTCAGGGGCTCATGTCGAGGCTCTGGGCGCGCTTCTCTTCCATCCAGCCCCCGACTCTGGCTCCGCTGGGCTCGGGGACGGGAGGACACTCAGCTCCAGAGTGACCCACAGACACGGAGCTGTGGCCCCTGTGGCCAGACAGGTCCCAGCACTGAACATCGATCCTGGGGACGTGGTGCTCGTGGTAGAGGGTGCTTCCTGCCTGCGGCTGGGGCAGGAATGGTGTTTAAAGGCTGGAAGAATTTGCAAGTCTGCTCTTGGGGCCTGTGGATTGAAGGTGCAGAACCTCAGCTGAAAGGCCCATCTCTGCACCCTGAGTACCTCTCACAGGAGCCCACAGCTCATGTCCACACCTGGCTGGGGTGAAAAGCTCACACACCTTGTTTGCACTAACCCAGCCCTCATCAAAGGGCATGGAGGTGGCAAGAGAGGGCCTGGCCAGCCTGCAGTTTGCTGCCCTCACAGCCAGGGGCTTCCTCCGTGGAGAGCGGCCAGGCCAGCAGGGCTGCAGACCTGTCTGACTCCGGACGTTACAAATCCTTCTTGGCCATCCTCCTAAGCATTTCTCATCACCTGTCCTCGAGGCTCGTCAGGCTCCTCACATCCAAAGCTGCTTGGGGCTGGTTTGTGCTGAGCACCTGGAAACAGAAAGGAGGAAGTCACATCCGGAGGGCAATTGGGAACAAAACAGGATCAGGAAAGAGGACGAGATCGTGAGCTCCGGCCGGAAGCAGCAACAATGGGTCGGGGAAAGCCGAGGCCCGGTGCACTGCCGGCTTCCAGCACTGCCGCAGGAGGAGGGTGATGGCTCTGTATTCAGACAAGGCGATGACGGGTGTGACTTACAAAGAGGGAAATCTGAATTCTGAGGACTGAACCAGCCAGGGATGTTCCAGAGCTGGGCTCAGAGCGCAGACGCCCGAGCCCAGGGACTCAGGAGGGAGAAGCGTCCTGCTGAGGACTCACACCCACGCCTGAGCCTCATTTTCCTTGTCTGTAACAATAGGGACTATAACATCTACCACATGGGGTCAGTGTGTGTGTGGTGGAGGTGGTGTTTCATGAACCAGCACCTGTGTAAACCACTCAAAACTACAGACAGCATTTAACTGAAAACTGGCTGTGGCTACGGAAGTTTGCCAAGTGGGCTGGCACAACTCATATCAGCAGGGATAGACATCTCATCATTACCGGGACCAGAAGGTCCCAATGCCCAGCCCACACCCAGGCCCCCAGAGCAGGGGTTCTCGAAGTGTGGTCCCTGGAAGAACAGTGTCACCACCACCTGGAGACTTGTTAGAAATGCACATTCTTGGGCCACGGCAGACCTGCTGAACCGGCTGGTCTGGCGGGGGGGGCCCAGCGCTCAGTGTCCTAACAAGCCCTCCTGCTGCAGCTCAGCCTTGAGAAAACTGGCCTGAGGGGTCCTTGGAGACGCCAGCAACTCTCTCGCCCACGGTATGAGTTTGCTGGGGCTGCTGTAATAAAGTACCATCAACCAGGTGACTTAAAACAACAAAAACCTTCTCTTGCAGTTCTGGAGGCCAGAAGTTCAAAATCAAGGTGTCGGGAGGGCTGGTTCCTCCTGAGGCTGTGAGGGAGGCTGTTCCAGGTCACCGCCAGCTTCCGGCGATTTGTTGGCAGCTGTTGGCGTTCCTTGGCTTATAAAGCATCGCCCCATCTCCGCCTCCATCTCCACATGGTCCTCTCCCCACGTGCCTCCGTCTTCATGCGGCATTTTCTTCTTTTGCTAAGGACACCAGTCATTTTTTTTCAACATCTTTATTGAAAGAAAGTATAATTGCTCTACAATGTTGTGTTAGTTTCTGCTGTATAACAAAGTGAATCAGCTGTATGTATACATATATCCCCATATCCCCTCCCTCTTGCGTCTCCCTCCCACTCTCCTTATCCCACCCCTCTGGGTGGTCACAAAGCACCGAGCTGATCTCCCTGTGCTATGCGGTTGCTTCCCACTAGCTATCTGTTTTACATTTCATAGTGTATATATGTCCATGCCACTCTCTCACTTCATCTCAGCTTACCCTTCCCCCACCCCGTGTCCCCAAGTCCATTCTCTACGTCTGCGTCTTTATTCCTGTCCTGCCCCTAGGTTCTTCAGAACCATTTTTTGTTTAGTTTCCATATATATGTGTTAGCATACGGTATTTGTTTTTCTCTTTCTGACTTCCTTCACTCTGTATGACAGACTCTAGGTCCATCCACCTCACTACAAATAACTCAGTTTCGTTTCTTTTTATGGCTAGTCGTTTTGGATTAGGCCAACCCTTATGACCTCATCTTAACTTGATTACACCTGCCAAGACTTCACCTTAACTTGATTACACCTATTTCCACATAAGGTCATATTCACAGGTGCTGGGGGTTAGGACTTAATCTTATTTTGGGGGACAAAATCCTACTTATAACACCCACCCATTTCTGAGCACCCCTGTTTCCAGACACTCTTCTCTGACTCTCATCCCATCCCTGACCCCTCTCCAGCTCTAAGCCCCTATTATACCACATCAGAGCCCCATGTCCAAGATGAGACTTGGAGGAAGGAGTAAAAGGGGTCTGTTTTAAACACTAGTTGGTCCAAAAAAAGTTGAACTGCCATGGTTTGTTTTTCAGGTCCAATCAAGACAACCTCATGTCAAAATGGAAGCATCAGAGTGACCCCCTCGGAGGGTCCCCTCACTCTGCATGTGGGACCTGAGTTCAGAGGAATGTGTAGGGCCCAGGGCAGCCCTGTAGGCATGGGCTCTGTAATGAGGAGCCCTGAGTCCCATTCCGGGGCACAGACAACCAGAGGAGGTGTCGGGGAGATTCTCCCCTTGGGTGGAGGGTCTCATGATGATGTCTAAGCATTTTAATTGCTTGACATTTTAAGGAGGAAGAACGGAGTTTCATAAATTGAGCTGGTAGATACCCAAATGTCTCTACGGGCTCTCGGCATTCTCCAGAAATCTCATTTTCACTGAGAATTCCTGCTCCCCTGGCATCGCCACACACCACAAGTTAACCACGGTCCAGCTTTCACTACAGTTTTCTCTCTTCGCCAAGTGACTGCATACGGGGCAGACACAGAGACAAAGTCCCTCTGGCGTGTGTGTGGGTTGTGGGCCCAGGCTCAGGGATGGGCTGTGCCCCCCCGTGGGGACTCCAACCCTGAAGGTCAGGTCACACCTCAGGCCACATGAATCCCTCGTGACAGGGATGCCGTTTCCTCTGTAATTGTTGAAATTTTGAGGTCTACACCACCTTCCAGTGCTCACATTCTTTGATTCCAGGAAGCCCGGACATGTGCCCTGTTGCCTTGGTAGCTCTGCAGTGGGGCAGGCAGGGGAGGTGGCCCGTCCCAAGCCAGCGAGGCGCCCTCCTGCGTGTCTGTCTGTGTGCTTAACGCTAATGCTTCACAGTATTCCCTTTGGCCGGCTGCACATAAAGGGTGAAGTCCCAGAAACTGACAGAGGTAGGACATTACCAGACATTCAGTCCCAGGAACACTCATCAGCTCTATCTGCTGCTGCCCCTGACAGTAGGTGGCAGCTCAGGGGGACGGGAGAGAGCCCTGCAGAAAGGACAGGCTGGCGACACGCCGCTTCTCTTGTAACTTACAATTCTGTCTCGGGGCCAGATTCCTCCCCAACATTCACTTCTTCATTAATTCATACATTTATCAAGTATTAGCCTAGGCTCTGAGGATACAGTGGGGATAATGGAGCCACGGCCCCTAAAACTCATGGATCACAGACCAGAAGGTGACACATACAATTGTAACCAGACAAGGACACACAATGTGCTAAGTGTCCAGTGGAGACTGATGAACTACAGGAGGAGAGGTTGGGGAGACCAGGAGGACTCCCAGGTTTGGGGATAGACAGTTGGATTGATGGTGGTATCACTCCCAAGGTTGGGAGCAGAGGAGAAGCTATAGGGAGAAGGTGGGCTTGGGTGCCCCTGGGACGGACGTATGGAGGTGTACAGTACAAAGCAGGACATCTAAGGCCTGAAGCCTAGAAGAGAAGTCTAGGGTCAGACTTCAGTCAGACTGGGGAGCATGAAGTGGATGTTATTTCCAGGGGGAGTGGACGGTCTGCTTTAAAATGTAGGTTTTATTATTATTCAGGTGCGATGAGGCAGGTTACCTGCCTCCTTTCTGCATCACTGTGGAGTCGGGTGAGAAGGGGCATTTTGTCAGTGTCGTGTCCTTTTTTTTTTGCGGTACGTGGGCCTCTCACCGTTGTGGCCTCTCCCGTTGCAGAGCACAGGCTCCGGACGCGCAGGCTCAGCGGCCATGGCTCACGGGCCCAGCCGCTCCGCGGCATATGGGATCTTCCCGGACCGGGGCACGAACCCGCGTCCCCTGCATCGGCAGGCGGACCCTCAACCACTGCACCACCAGGGAAGCCCGGGAGACGTTTTTGACAAAATCAAAGCAATGGATTCTGAGGCACAAAACAACACTCTGAGGCACAAAGGAAATCCCAGAGGTGCTGCCAGCTCAGAATCAAATACAAAGGTCAGGAAAGGGCCAGGTGACCGTTATCAGTGTACTTCCTTCCAGGTCTGCTAAGGCAGTGTGTGTATGTGCGTGTGTGAGGGACAGAACAACAATCCAGAAGCTGGAAAAGGTATTAGGGGCTGAATTGTGTTCCCCACTTCCCAATTCATATGCGCAAGTCCTAACCCCCCAATATCTTGGAATGGGACTGTATTTGGAGACAAGGTCTTTAAACAGGTAAAATGAAGTCATTAGGGTGGGCCTTAATCCAAGATGACTGGTGTCCTTATAAGAAGAGGAGATTAAGACACAAGCACACACAGAGGGATGACCATGTGAAGACCGAGGGAGAAGACAGCATCTACAAGCCAAGGAGAGAGACCTCAGAGGAAACCAGCCCTGCCGACACCTTGACCTCAGACTTCCAGCCTCCAGAACGGCGAGGAAATTAACTCCTGTTCTTGAAGCCCCCCAGCCTGTGGGACTTCATGGCAGCCCCCGCCAGACGGTACAGTAGTCTTCATCTCTCCACCTGATTTAAGGAAAGTAAGTGGATCCTGGTCTCTTTCAAACTTCACACCTCCTACCACCTGTTGAAAGAATGACGGAAGCCAAGACACAGTGAATGTTATTATTCTCACCGGTTTTCTTTCTTTCTCTAAAAGGCCTACTGGGCCCCGGGCAGCCTCGGTGAGTCGCTGGCAGCTCCAGAACCTGGCCTCAAGGGCGAAAGGAGGATGTTCATCAAGATGCCGGCTGATGTCCTTCCAGCTCTGAGCACTGGGATTTCTGCGGGCGCGACGGGCAAGCCCAGCAGGCGCAGCCTGGTTTCCTGTGAGTCCGCGGGTTTGCCCGGTGCCTGTCTTGGTGTATCTTTGGCAGCTTTCGTTTTGACTTCGGTGGGGGGACTTGATTCAGTTCAGAGGTTTAGCCTCAGGCTGGTGTCCGCCCTCATCTGGGAAAACAATGGCTGGCGTGGGGCTGGTATCAAACAGTGTTGGAGAGAAACCTGAAAAGAGAGGGGAGGAGGAGAGAGGAGGGCAGAGCCAGGGAGAGGGAGGCTGGGGACGCCCCGCTCAGCAACAACTGCGCGGAACGTCTGGTCGATGCTGTCGGGGCCCAGGGCAGGGGGCCCCCAAATGTGTCCCCAAATGTGCACCAATGGCATATTGGTTATTTTGAACTAAAGTTACTTAAGAAAGAGCTGATGTAAGAGGGACACTCTGACCCTGTCTGTCTCCCTGAAGGCAGGAAATAAATCTCTCCTACGAAAGGTCCACTCCCTGCACCTGGAAGTAGAAGGACACCCTAAACTCCAGAGAGGGAGAGTTCGGGCAGAAAGCCTGGATAAGCAAACCTTGTTGCTTATTTCATTGACTACCCCATGCCCACATTCTGTTTAGATTCTTCACTAATTAAGCACCAAAGCCAAAGTGTCTTTGTCCTGTCATTTCCTCACAAAGTTGTTTCTTTGTCTAAAAAGTATAGAAGCTGCCTCCTTTGGCCACTTCTTAGGTCTTGTTTCTATGAGACCTCCCTGCGTAAGAATTCATATTTGTTTCTTTCTCTCCTGTTAGTCTGTCTTGGGTCAATTTTATTATTAGTCCAGCCACAAGAGCTCAAGAAGGGTCAGAGGGGGAAACCCCCCTCCCAAACAGTGCTCTTCCTAGGACCTCGCGGTTGGAGGCAGGGAAGCTGGGAGCTGGGAGACAGGCTTGCTGCGCCTGGGATGCTGAGCAAGAAACCCTGTCCCCTAATCGTGGCACTGGAACTGGTGACACCCTGTTACTCACTTGTTCCAGCTCAGTGAGGTTTTGGGGGCCATCTAGGCAGCGGAATAAGGAATCAGGGGCAGAGGCCACTAAACTTTCTTACTGCCGCCCTTTGGGAGACCTCTTTGGCGGTTCTCCTAATATGAATGCCTTTCTCGTTATCCTTGATTGATGCTACGATAGAAATTCTCTTAGCGGACCGCACTTAGCCATCTCAGGAGTCGTGTGGGTCTGAGGGTCGCCCACCACTCACAGCCTGCTTGTGACTGGTGGCCTCTCCCCAGCCCCTGTTCTTCTGTGCCCACAACTGGGGCCCTGTGCACCCCAAGAGACAGCTGTGTTTGTTCCCAAACCTTTTCACATCAGTTGCTATCAAAATTAAATAAGTATTACATAAACCAATAAAGTATAAAGGCAAAAAGAAAGAGTTGTTGTTACAAGAACTCAGTTGAACGCTTTCGAAAGTTTGATAAAGGTGAATTGCTTACAAAACCAAATGTGCTGTCAAAATAGATATGAGTGTAACATTTATAGGACGTTGGAAGAAATGTAAAAATCCAAGATGACGCACAATCTGATTGCTTTGCTGAGTTCTGGGGCTAACTGTAATTAAAAAATCCAAACTGGAACTCATAAATGATGCAGTATGGGTGTGGATTATGAAAGACACAAGTTTCTAATTAGTACAACTATGATTAAAAAAAATAAAAAAGGCCTTGGCGACATCAACACCAGAAGACTGGTGAATTAATTACATTGACAAGTTTTAACTTAAAATATTCACTGTATGGGCTTCTGTGTGTATATACACAATACATAAGCATATGTGTATGTATGCACGTATGTATGTATATATACACAATACATAAGCATATGTGTATGTATGCACGTATGTATGTATATATACACAATACATAAGCATATGTGTATGTATGCACGTATGTATGTATATATATGTATGTATGCACGTATGTATGTATATATACAGGTCCTCCTTGCTTTATGATAAACCCACTGTAAGTTGAAAATATCCTAAGTCGAAATGCATCAATACACCTAACCCACCAAACATCCCAGCTTAGCTCAGCCTACCTTAAACGTTCTCAGAACACTTACACTAGCCCACAGCTGGGCAGGATCATCTAACACAAAGCCTACTTTTTAAAAAAAGTGTTGAGTACCTCATATAATGTACTGAATACTGTACTGACGGTGCAAAGCAGAATGGCTGTCTGGGTGCAGAATGGTTGTTGACCCTTGTGATCACAAGGCTGACAGGGAGCTGCGGCTGCCACTCCCAGCATCATGGAAGAGGATCGGACTGAAAAGAATATTGCCAACCTAGGAAAAGATCAAAATTCAGAATTCAAAGTACGGTCTCTACTGAATATGTATCAGTTTCATATGATCTTAAAGTCGGAAAATTATAAGTCAAACTACTGTAAATCAGGGCCCGTTTGTGTGTGTATATATGTTCTGCATTTTACCCAACTTTTTAAGATTAACTGACTGACTACCAGTTCCCAGCCTAGGATGAGAGGGCTTCTGGCAGGTGCCATTTGTATTAAAAATAGTGGAGCAATATTGTCAGTCATAAGAAATATATATATTTGGTCATTCAGATGACCCAAATTATTTCTCATATATATTTGGTCTGCATCCACATTTCCTGGCTCACAGCTCCTAAACCCTTGGAATATCCTAAGTGTAGAGAATGATGTAGGTGTCTTTTGTTAGGAGAATGAGGTGATTTTTGGAAGCATCTAAGGATGGGGGCTGATTGCCAGGAGAACTAACCATCTGATTAGAGGGTTGGAACTTTCTGTCTCACCCCCTGACTTGCAGGGAGGGAAGAGGGGCTGGAGGTCGAATCAACGGCCAATTGCCAGTGATTTAATCAATCGTGCTTATGTAATGAAGCCTCCATAAAAACCCCAAGGACAGGGTTCAGAGGCTTCTGGGTTGGTGAACACGTAGAGATCTGGGGAGAGTGGGGCTCAGACAGAGCGCAGAAGCTCCGCACCCTTTCCCCTTACCTCACCCTATGCATCTCTTCATCTGCCCGTGGATTCCTATCTTTTAATATCCTTTTAAAACAAATCGGTAATCTAGTGAGCAAATGAGTTTTCTTAGTTCTGTGAGCTGTGCTTGCAAATTAGCCGAACCCGAGGAGGGGGTTGTGGGGACTCTGATTTATAGCCAGGTGGTCAACCTGGGCTCGTGACTGGTATCTGAAGTGGAAGCATCTCGTGGGACCGAGCCCTTCACCTGTGGAATCTGATTCTATCTCCAGGAGATTGTGCTAGAACTGAGTTGAATTCTTGGACACCTGCTGGCATCTGAGAATGTCCTGTGGGGAAGCGCACACACACACACACACACACACACACACACACACACACACACACACACACACACACACACACACACACACACACACACACACACACACACACACACACACACGTCCAGGAATGCTTTACAGTGGCCACTCCCCCAGATGGCGGAGACTGTATTTTGTTAATTTTTCGCATCCTCACTCACTCGCTCGTCGGACCCCCGGGGAAGTGGGCGAAGCGGGGGCAGAGCTGGTGGCAAAGCCCTTGCCCACAGGGGTTTAGTGCGGTTATTTCATCCCTTGGTGCGTGAGGCAGGCAGTGGTGAATGACTGGCATTCATAGAATCGCTGGTTACCTGTCAGGTTCACCAGGAGCGTCACTCAGCTCAGGTTCTGGGAGGGTCCCCTGGAGCGCTGCAGCTGGTTCTGGAACGCGTCATCCTGCTCTGTGGGGTGCTGGCCCCAGGCCCCGGGTCCCAGCCCCTTCCTCAGTCCTCAGTCCCAGTAGGTCTTTGTCCTGCACCTGAGGCGCTTTTGTGTTCCCAGTGAATTTGAGGTTCTTGATGTCTTGCTTCATACAAAGAATTCAGTGGGAGACAAAGTGATAGGTAAGAAGTGGATTTATTCAGAGAGAAACACACTCCACAGACAGAGTGTGGCCCATCTCAGAAGGTGAGAGAGACCTGAAATATGGCGTGGTTAGTTTTTATGGGCTGGGTAATTTCACCAGCTAATGAGTGGGAGGATTATTCCACTTATTTCGGGGAAGGGACAGAGATTTCCAGGTATTGGGCCACTGCCCACCTTTTGGCCTTTTATGGTTGGCCTCAGAACTGTCAGGGCGCTGGTGGGTGTGGCATTTAGCAGCTAATGTATTACAATGAGCGTATAGTGAGGCTCAAGGTTACTGGAAGTCGTATTCCGCCATCTTGGACCTAGTTGGTTCTGACCAGTTTTTGTCATGTCCTATGGCTATGTCATTCTTTTAAAGGTTGTGCCTTGCCCCCTTCCCTCCTGTTTCAACTGGACCCCAACATGGTTAGGCTGGGAGCATAGATGGGACCGAAGTGGATTAATTCCCACCCAAGCCACAAGCCCCACCAGATATCACAGTCCAGGGGAGGCCTGGGTCTGGCACTCTGAGGATATCCACCAGCTTTGGACAGGTGGGATAAGGTTTGGACCATGTAAGGAATCTCCCGGAAAGTGTCTGAATCCATGGAAAGTCCTGAGGACATGCTGTGCCCTCCCCAGATCTCTACCAGGAGCTCGGCTGGAAGTGTCCTCACTGTGAAATGAGTGGCACAGTAGGAGAAGTTCCCCAAGGATGCTGTCTTCCCCCCACCACCCCCATTCTAATGCCCGGGGGCTGCAGCCACATTCTGCCAGCCTGGGCCCTGGGGCCCTCCCAATGTAGGGGATGCACTAGGCCCTCTTGGTCTGAACCTCTGGAAGAAGTCTGCAAGCTCTTAAGGGGGGATGCGAGATTTCTTTGGAGAGTTTCAACTTTTTGTTGAATATTTTGTAATACAGAAGAGTACTGTTGGTTAGGTTTCCTCTAACCTTCTACGTTCTTCAGGCTGGTCTAAGAATTAAATTGACATTAGACAGAGAAAATACAATTTAGTTTTTCGTATGTACAGGAAGCCCACATACACAAGAGGGTCAGAGACAGAAAGATAAAATGAGGTCTAGACGCCATCCTGAGCTGAGGAACGGGGTCGGGGCTTCTGAGGATGGGAGGGTCACTCACAGGACGAGAAGAAGAGCAGATGTTGGGTAATTAGATGTTTGTCCTGACACACAGATGGGGCCACTTTGGTGAAATTTGTCTCTGGTAATAATTCTTTCCTGGGAAAAATGCCCAGCTTCAACTCTTCTAGGTAGTAAGGGGAAGGGCAGTAGTTTCCCTTGAACCCACAGGATCTCAACTGCCTTTAGCTCAAAATAATCCTCATTATAGCTCATTCTGAACCCCTATACTACGTACAGCATCTATGTAAAATATTAAAAACAAGAGTGAAACAGGCACCCTGTATGCCCCATGCCCTCTTCCCATATATCCACTTCCTTCCCTCCTCTGCCCAAAGCAACAGTATCCTCAAATTTGGAGTGGTTTTGAGCTCCAAATTTAGAAATTTCATAGATGTTTAAAATGGCCCCTCATAGAAACACTCAGAAATAAGACAGGCTGGGAGTGGGTGTTGGGCGTTACTTGTTCTGCTGACACCGGGGCTGTCTCTGTCCACTCTGCTGAGGGGCTGGCTTTTCCAATTATTTGCTTGACTGTTTTGCTTGAACAAAACAAGTGAGCTTTGCCCCTTTAAACAGGTCCTTAAGGCACCAGCAGGTGTTGATTTATGGACACTTGATTTAGGTGTCATATTTATGTCTGTGTAGATTTAAACTGGACAGGACCCAGCCTGCTGAGGAGGGAGCCCTGACCCTCCATGCCCACTGGGGGGTTTTGAAAGGACCTCTGACCCTGGCGGCTTGATGCACAGGAAAGGCTGGGGTCAGGTACAGGCTACCGAAATAAGGGTTTTACAAAATTTGCACAGAGAGTACTAGGCTGAGCAATGTTCAGACACAACACAGTACTTCTGTGGAACGTCACTGCATAATCTTACAATAAAAACTCCGCACACACAGCTCTTAGAATAGCAAAAGAGCAAAACTGACCACGGTCCCCTGTGAAGAAATGAAATGGAAATCTTGTAGGACGGAAAAGTCAGACACTTGGGCTCGGGTCCCCCACTGCCCACCCAGGGGGCCCAGTGCATCTCCGCAGGGGCAGGGGGACCAGAGAGGCTGAGGAGCATGGAGTTGGGACCCCGTTTCCCACCACAACACAGGCCTTCGCCCCTGGGTTCCCTGCGGCCTTCTGATAACTCCTCCCCTTTACCTTTGGCCTGGAAGTGAGGGGGAAGCGTCACAGGGATCACCTGACAGCCACAATCTTCCTACTGAACTCAAGTGCTAAATTCAGAATAAGGGGTTTACAAAGGCTGTGAGGCGGCACCACAGGAACCCAGGGCCTCCGGTTAAAGACCCCGAAAGACATCAAGTCCAGTCCGCTGTTTAGCCATCAAGGCCAGTCTACCGGGCCACTTTTGAAAAGGAGACTTGACCTTAATGCCAATTTAATCTCACGGGGAGACACTGCATCACCACCAAGGCTCCTGAGAAGTCTGGGGGGTCAACATCCTTACCTTGAATGTTGACAGTGTTAGGAGAGCAGCTGCGGTTTCCCAGGAACCCCGGGTAGTTGGGGAGAGCTGGGTGGACCTGGCTTTGGGGACATTTAGTGGTTTGGAAAGACAATTCTGGCCCCATAGGAGGAATCCTGGCCTCGCACAGTGGCCCCGACATGGTCGGAGCTGCGGGGAGTGGGGCAGGAGGCAGGCGGCCAGGACAGTCCCCAGGGGAAAGTCTGGAGGTGGAACACATGAAACTTTCCTTCTTTCCTCCCACTGCCCCTGCAGGTTGCATGTGGGGCTGGAATTCCCCAGCAGGCTATCAGAGCCCAGCTCTAGAGCAGCCAGAGGGACAGATGCTAACTGTGGGAGGGGTGACCCGATTCCAGGAGCAGCCCTGGGCAGGGCCTGAGGGACTGGAGCACAGGTGCTCAAGTTCCCTAAAATGTTTACCTTTTGAATCCGAACTCAGTCTAGGTTTATGAATCAGGACTTCGAAGGCAGGGTTTCCTTTATCTGGGAAGGGGAGGGGTGGCTCACTGTGGACAATTTCTTCTTTCTTATTTTACAATCTGGAATCTGCTCACTTGCACATCAGGCCCAATCTGATAACTTTTGCACAAAATCAAAAGCCTAAATGATCTTTTCTTAGGAAACCAAACCGAGTGGCTCGCTGATGCACCCCTACGGCACGCGTCCCCATGCATGAACGCAAATGGGGTCCTTTAGGGGTCCCATCAGCCTGAAAGACTTCCGGGTGTCTTGACAAGAGGTGTGGGTGTCCTCAGGAACTCACACTCCGGCGGTGGGTGCCGTTTGTGTCAAATGTGCAGGAAGCAAGAGCAGGTCAGGGGTGGGAACTGCAGCAACTGGTCCGAGAGTGAAGTCAGACGTGGAGGGTGTGCAGGGGTGTGGGTGGGGTCAGGGACGCCCTAGAGGGTGGTGACAGATGAAGGGGGACAACGGCCTGGAAGCTGCAGGAAAAGGATTTAAAATAACGGGTCACCGCTGGGAAGGTGAGACCTTGGCAGCCGCAGGGAACTGGAAGAGATTGAAGGAAGCCAAACCTGAGGGGTCCTGGCTCTGCCACCGTCGGTGCATGTCCAATGGTCACGCCACCTGTACGGACCTCGATTTCTAGTAAAGGACTGAAGTCGAGGGTCACCGAGGCTCTTTTCAGCTGGACAAGGCTCTCTCATTTAGGAGGGAATCCTGACAAGAAAACAAACAAGAACTTGGGGTGGTGAATCCTCTTTGCACCTCACCCTGTGATCCCAACAGCGGGCTCTCTCTGCTCCCCATCCTCTGAGAGAGAAGCAGTGAAAAGTCTCGAGTGAGAATTTTGCCTCCGGTTTGATTTCGCTTCACTAGGCGCTCTCTGGAGGTGAGAAGGAACTCAGGAGATGGTGTATTTTTGGATACGGTCGCTCTTTTTTGCACTGGAAGCCCAGAGGGTGGGTTTAGATTTGCTGCAGAGGTCATACACAAATCCGCACTCTTTGGCCCTCTAGTCATGCCCTGCCAGTGACCGTGGTCAAGGACGTCCCATCACTGTCAACTGTACTTACACCTGAGATGGGGACACTCAGATCAAGTCAGGGCCTGTGCTTGGGACCAGCTAGGCTCCCAGAAACTCACCTCAGCCCTATTCTGAGCAGCCTGACGGCCCCAACAAGCCTCAGAATGGGGCCTCACAGGGCCAGTCCTACTTAAAGGAATCAAAGGACTCCTCTCACTTCAAAGAAAGCACCCAAATCTTCTGAAGAAAGATGAGCAGTCTGATAAAAAAAACATTTTTTTTTGCTTGGATCGTAAAGAATAGTACAGACTAGAACAAAGTTTTATTTAGGTAAGTCTAATAAAGAAACACCAAAAAGTAAAACACATTAAAAACTTTATTGTAAGTACCACGCATGTCTAAATTTGCATCGGTTTGCAACCCTTCTGCTGGCTTTGCAGAACACAAGAGTTGCAAGTTTCCTTAAATCTTGCTTTAGATCTTTTCAGGCTCATCTGCTCCGGCCACCCCCTCCTCCCCACGGTGGGGTCAGTCTACCCTGCCTCAGGCTGATATCCGATCACCCCAGGGCCAGGCGGAACCTGCCTCCAGAGGGGCTGGCCCTGCAGCTAGGACGCCCCGTACTGCTCCAGTGAGCCCACTCTTCTCTTTGTCCCATTTTTACTCCTAGCCTGAGTGGCTAACTGTGCATATTCTAAGCAAAATTAACTCCAGTTAAGTTTCATGGAGTATTCCAGAACCTCGAATCGGTACCTGATTATTATTTTTTAATGGAAGCAGGGAGTAGTTGGGAAAAATCCCCTAGACTGGAGTGGGCTGGAACAGGTGGAAGAGGGTTCAGTTCCCCGTCTCTCCTTCATTGGCCGGGTCTGGCCAACTCTGCGTGTGGCAGATATGAACTGCTCATCCCTAGGGAGGGGGGACCCTGAACTGCCACCCGGGTTTGAAAGCAAATTTGAGGG